ATCCACTTTTACTTGTTTTAGCTACTAGATTTTGTATATGTTGCTTTAATAGCATTACTATTCTTAGTAGTTTTTCTGGCAATTTTAGGTACAATTACAGCTTTTTAGTAAAATAAAAATCTAAACTTGAGTGTGAGCAGCCTTCAGCGGCTATGTTCAAGTAGTTGGTCACATCACGCAAGACTGTCCTAATTACAGCAGTTGTTTCTAATTACAAACACATGGATGCTGGGGGTGGAGTTTGAAGTGTGAATACCTGTTTAACCAATCACTTTGCTCTTTTACCATCATTTTTTGAAGCTACAGTTGCAACAAGGAGCCTGCACCCAACTCAGAGAATACACTGTTGCTTATAGGCACAGTAGGAAACTTGACATGTTGACAGGAAACTCTTTGAATTCCAGGGACATCAGATCTTTCCAAATCATAAAAATGTGATTTTAGACAGAGAAATGCACAGACTTGAAAGGTTGGCCGTAGTCATCAAGCAAGAAGCCTTTCTGCAAACCAGTGGGTAGTAAAAATGAGAAAGTTGTTCAAAAAGATGTTTGAACATTTTAAAGAAAGATAAAAGTCCATGCATGGGGTAAAGTGCATGCTCAGAGTTGGAAATGATGCTCACTAATCAAAGATTTCCATGCTATCTTTTGGGGTCCTGCTGTCTTCTTTCTAATGTTCTTTTAGCCATAACTTAAAAGCTTGAATTACCAAAGAGCTATTCAAACATTCAAATGTTAAACAATGTAATTTTGTCACTTCCCAGTCTAACCCTCAGGAGACTTCATCCTTTGTCCCTGGTTTTAAAAATGGTATATGATTATGATACAGTTTATTCTTAATAAAGTTTTTCAACATATACAGGAGCATTTCACAAAAAACCTAGAAGATTAAAAGGATCTCAAATAGAATATAGTTTTCATGTTTCAATGAAAAATATACAAAATTTATGGCTACAGCATTTGGGTATTTTTAAAAGTATTTTGCTTGAGATGTGTAATTCCAAAGGGGCAAAGTACTGCTGATGTTGTTGCATAGTGAGAGATGGGTAAAGCAGTTCAATTTTGGCCATCGTCTTCTGGGTTCCTTATACTAAATTGTGTGGGGGCACTAAGGGCTCAGTTCATACGTTGTTTGAGCAAAACCACTGATGATAATATATAATCTCATTCCGCTGTTGTGGGTAGGTGTTAGAAGATCTTACAGGGATTGATTTATTGAGTTCCTTAAGTTCTTCTCCATTTCAGAGACATCACTTAAAGGCACACAGTGTAACTTTTCTAGTGCTTGTTTGTCTCCTTGGAGGTGTTAATGCTTTGTCTGAAATGTTGGTATTAGATTTTTTACATATTTCATTTTTTTCAATTAAATGTGGTTTCATGGTTAAAAAAATACATGCAATTTTATAGTGAGTGTGGTCGCCTCACCTAACTTGACCTGGTTGGATCACCTGTTTCCTGGAGCTAGATACGTTTAATGTCATACTGTGGAACATTCCTGACAAAGCCTCTCCGTGGAGATAAGCAGCTGGCACACCATTCACCAGAAAAGTTTCATGGTGCACTCTATACCGTTGAATACTGTGTAATGACCATTAGCCTAACATGAGGTTTTTGTCACAAAGCTTAAAGGTGAAGTTTGTCCTTAGCTATGAACAGATGAATCTCTTAGTTATTTTTAACCCTAATATTTTCCGCTTAACACAAACGTGGCATTAAGTTTAACAGTTTTTGCGACTACAGGGCCCGCCTCCTTACACTTGGCGACAAACTGGAGTCTTCAGTTAGCATGCCCTTTTATCTGCCTGTTCAGTGTCTTATGGGAAGCTAATTAACGTTCAGGTTCTTCTGCCGACTGACAGTTCTGGGAAATACTATTTAAACATGGAACATCATTATGACAAACAAGTGCACTTAAAGTTTTAAGTTACATCATTTCCGACACAAATTTAAGCACATTTTAGCTCTTTCACTGGGGCAAATCACTGTGTTGTAAAAATAACAGTGTCTATAAGTATCACATAAGAGCTATTAATTTCTATTTCTGGCATGCCAATTACGATGCACAGCAGCAGCTTTTGGATATTGAACCAGTTTGAGTCAAACAGTTGTAATACATTATTATCTATTTCAACCTGGTGCGGCGGGGAGGTTCTCACTGCTGGAGTTTCATCAAAAGTGATAGCCTGCTGAAAATGTAATTCGCTGTTTTAGTATGAATCAATAAGGCTTCACTTTCTCTTCCCATTCCACCTTTATGTTAATCTAAAAGAAATGCTCAAATAAAAGTTTAATTTCACCACACTGCCTCTCAGACTGGTTAATCGTGACAATTTTAGCCGTAACTGCTCAATTGGCACTTGAATTTCGAGACTATTTTAATCAGGCTTCTCCTCATGATGGGGTGGACTTTTTGGAAATAAGGCAGTTGTAATGGAAGCTTATAAGCTACAGTGCCACTTCACAGCTGATCTTCTATTAGGAGTTATTTCCCATTTAATTATTATCACTGAGAATAAGGATAAGCCATTTCTAAAAGTTCACAGAGAGATCTCAGACGTACGTTATAAAGCAATTCAGATAACGTTCACAATGAATGTCAAAATCAGTTCCCAATTCAAGGCTTTGTGAGTACTTTTACTACTTTTACAACACAATTTCCTGCTTCTATTAAAAACCTTCCTTAAAGCTCAATGTTCTGGGTACCTGTAAGAACATTACGGAAGTTGCCGCAGGCGCTGCCATCGTCATTCAAGTTGTATTATTTTGCACGGGACTACTGATCTTGACTGCAAATAAGTTCTATATGGACTGTAAAGCTGTTTTAAAGCCTCCCAAAGAAACAATTAAGTTTTTGTTGATGTACATGAACATTTTACACAAATCAACCTACTTTATATCATATTTTAGTGGCAAAACTTTTTTTAAATTATCCAATGAAATAAGTGGATTCCTGCTCAACCAAAAGTACCACCACAAAGAAAAGGCAGAAGTGGGCGGGGTGGAACAAGGTCAAGATATTTTGAATCAGTGAATTGTGGCACAATATTTAATTTCCTTTAATTTCCCTTATCTAATTTTTGCACAATGTATCACTGTAACAGCAACAAATTCACAAGCGCTTTTTATGATATATATTCCGCTGGCAAATGTATAAAATCATATTCTCTAAATCTTTCTATGAACATGCAGCAAATAAATGAATACTCTTTAAGTATTAACAATAAAACATAAGTGTAGATTGGATGAAGTCTAATTTAGTGGTTGCTGCATCAGAGAATATTTCAATGTTTGTGGTGAGGAGAACAAACCCTGACAGGCTCCTGTCCCCGCCGCATCTTTCATTAATCACGCGTCTCATTGGCCGAGCTCCGATTTGCCACTGAGACAGATGAAGATGAACTCAGCAATATATTTCTCATCATAACACAAGCCACACATAAATATTAATAGCATATTTTCAGCTGGTGGGCATGAATCATTTTTCAGACGGGGAATTTTAAGAGCTATCCATGCGTGTCCGAGAACAGTACATAAGCAAGTGGTGGTGATAAACAACACTGCTTAAAGGCACCAGTGAGGAGGAGGCTCCAACTATACACAAGGTCTTCATTCAACTTATATCACAGCTCTAGTATGCTGCAGCGTTTCATAAGCACTCATAACTTAACATTACACGCACTAGCAATTTGCTGTCAATGATACGGCAACATGAATAGTGTGAAGAGCTGTCATATTGATGTTGCATTTGCTCTTTAGTGGTACAGTGTTCAACATGAAGGTGGATAGTTGGTTTTATATACTGTATTTTGCACTTTGTCCCTGGAGGAATAAACTGAAAAACTGTATAATGCAACAAGTACCCACTTTAAGCACACATAATCAGTGAATCGAAAAAACAAATTTCCTTTGGACGACACATGTCACATAAGATTTGATTGAGTGGTTGAACTTCAGTCAATATTTTGATGTTTGCTGAGTAAAGAATGTGGTATTTTATTTTTAAATGCAAGTGCTTGAGTTTTACTTTTTGTACCAAACGGCACATTAGACAAACTTTATTGATCCACAAGGGAAATTATTTGGACACATGCAATATATTATAATAATAAAAGCAAGAATATAAAATTTTAAATAAATAATGTCCCTATAGCCTATTTGTAGCCAGTGGGCCAGCTCCAATACATATCTGACATGATCTCGCAGGCCAAATATAATTATATCGCAACATGTCTGATTAAAATGTTAATAATAAGTTCAAAATAAATAGCAAAAATAGCAAGAGAGTGGTGTCGAAAGAGGCATAATTATATAAATGTATATGTACAAGTAAAAACGACAAAACATAGTAATATAGTAATTAAAATATATTTCAGTTATATACAAGTCGTCGTAGGGAGAGACAGTGCAAAGATGAAATAGTGACTGATAAAATAGAAAATAGAATTAATCAGTGAAACAGTCCAACCACTTCCAATCAAACATGTGTACTGTATAGTTTTGTCTTTTCTACACTCACACGATGTTGCCGTGGTGAAAATTACAAAGCTAAAAAAGTCAATCTCATGAAACCTATCTGTCAGAATCACGTTTTGTCAAATATCACTTTTTTGTCTTTCAGAACTTTTTCATTCACACCCAAGGGGAATTTCATTATAACTTTCTGTTCTTGCACATTTCCCCAGAGAACCATAGCCACTGTTTTGGAAGAAGCACATTATCTTTTATTATTTAATCACACTATATTGCACAAGGAAGAAGCTAGACCAACAGAATGTCCTTCCTGGGTTACCGTAGTTGCCCCCAGTCTTTGAAAAATTTCAGTATATGACGTCAGGAATTGCAATCTTTCTAACTCATATGGTTGAACTCATTTAAATAGCTTGGACCGACTGGGGCCTGATGTTTTGAGTAACCTTTTGCCGATATTCTTGAGTCCAGCAGCACGGTGTATTGAGTGTTGGATGCACAGTCACAGCAGGCGTGCTCTCTCTCTCTCCGCAGGTGTATGACCAGCAGTACAAAGCCGTGGTGGATGGGGTAGAGACTGACAGCGTGATGGAGATTGACCCAGGCCGGCGCATTGAAATCTTCCGAATGGGCAACGGCAGCGAAGAAGTAGTTGAGGTCCACGACTTCAAACATGTAAGTAAAGGTTAAACAAGGTTGCGAAAGGTGTTACTGGCTGGCTGGGAAATTGGTACTAGAATTGTTTCAGGGAGGAGTTGGGATGAGTTGGTAGACAACAGGAGACAGTTACAACTATGCAGTCTTTTTCTATAATAATTAAATCTACTAATTAACTGTATAGAACATATATCTTTAGTATTTCTCACTGTTGCATTTCAGAAGATAATCATAATTAATTCTCAGTTACAGTTCAATAAATCAAGCTTTATTTCAGACTCCAGTGGGTCCATATAGAACATTCAAAACAGACAAAAGACAAATAGCAAGGGAATGAAAGGACTGCACTGACTTAAAAACATGAAACAAATTAGTTCATATTAAAGGGACAGTCCGGAATTTTGGACATAGGACCTCATTTTCTAGTTAGCCAGAGTGTTGGAGACGTGTGGAGACACTTTTTAAAATATTCCATCCAGTCCTTGTATTTGCAGAGGTCGCTGGTGCTAGGCTAGTGCATGTCAATGGCCATAGTTAGCCTGCCACTAAAAACAGTCTTACCCACTTCACGAAGCACCCGAAGCAAATCTACTATTACACCAGACTGTCGATGTCAATGTCTGTGTTGATAGAATAATGTTTGAAATAAAACTAACCTTGCATCGCATGAATTGTCGCATGTTGAGGGACTATTTTCTCATATATCAGTTCACCACTGCCAAACTTTCTCTTAGGAAGTACAACTTGCTGCTGCTGCTCAGACATAAATCCTTCAAATGCAAGGTTGGTTTTACTTCTAAAATTGCTCTATCGACACAGACATTCACATCGACAGTCTGGTGTAATAATTTTTTTGCCTCAGGTGCACTATGGAGTGGGTAAGACTGTTTCAGTGGCAGGCTAACTATGGCCATTGACATGTGCTAGCCTAGCACCAGCGACCTCTGCAAATACAAGGACTGGATGGAATATTTTAAAAAGTGTCTCCACACGTTTCCAATACCCTGGCTCACTAGGAAATGAGGTCCTATGTCCAAAATTCTGAATTGTCCCTTTAAGTTTTCCAGTGGTCCAAACTCATTCCTCACTTTCACATCAGTAGCTATTGGTTTTGGAGCGTGTTTGACAGGGCCAAAGCCGTGTTTGGGACCAACAGCAGTTAGCCTGCAAACATCTTTTAAAGAAAATCTGATACAGTCTGTTTAACTTTGTTTTCTTTACTGGAATGTTACACAGTGCACAATACATTATAATTTATTTAAAATATACCTCTCTATCCTAATGATATATGCTACGTCTACTCTTATACTTTCTAATCAGTTTGGTGCCTCAAAATATCTTTCTTCCATTTTTTTCACTTTTTTTCTTTCAAAGACAATCACTGAGAGTTACTATCAAACAGAAACAAAGCAGAGCAGTAAATTTTCTTATAAAAGCATGATACCTGTAATGAAAAAGAACATTGAATAAAAGTCCACATTTTAATCCTATACAAATAAAATTCACAACAATGAATGAGTTCTGTTCCACTGACTATCTACATATCTTCACTTTACACACATATTCAGATAGCTTTTTTTTTGGCTTTTTTTTTCTGCTCAATTTTCAAAGTCTGAAAAACTCCCAAGAAAAGAAAAACACCATTAATACTCCCATCTCTCTTTGTTTTCCGGGCCTTTTCACAACTGCTGTTCCGTCTCAGGCTGCAGAACGTATTACCTTACCTTTCATTCCTAAATCATGCTTCACTGTGCACGAGGTTACATGCGCCGCACCTCTCCAAAGAAAACCTGTGTGCTGCTTGACTAGCTAATGAATACTCTTCTTTCACACCATTATTTACTGTGAAATGTTGGGGTCGGAGGGCTGAACGTTACAGGATAAAACTCATCCCAAGAAGATGCATCGAGTTGTAGCTGTTATTTTTTCTCCAACAGTGGGCCTCTTCGAAAATGGCTATATGATGTAAACAGTACACTGCCAGAATGCTTTGACCTCTGCAATCAATCTCTTGGTTTTCCAACAGCACAGTGACTATTCTTCACTTAAAATTGTATGTACACATCGAAGTACTATAAGCCTGTTGCTTGTTGTACTTCCTGTTAGCGGAGCGTATCCCCCCAGAGAAGAAACAAGTGAGAGCAGAGTAATTTGCGCCCTCATTCCTCGTTAGAATAGGGGCAAAAGCTTTATAAAATGTCGCAGAGGTTTGGACTAAATTGCTGCTGTGGTGGTAAGTTGTTAAATGGAAAAACAGGAAAAATGTTGCATGCTCTTGCGCTGAACAAACTACCGTTAAAACAATCAGTGGAGAGCCTCAGGGTCCAGTGAAGAATGGCAAATGAGGGGATTATGCCACCAGGACTGGAGCAGAGGGTAAATCCACTTACCCATTGTCACAGCCCAAAACCGGACTTGTTTTGAAAAGCAAAGTGGAGAAAAAATATCTGCCACTTGAGACTCTATTGTGTGAAAATTACATTACAATAAATCTAAAAAAAATGTAATGTTATCTGGGTATAATACAGTAAATACGGTAGATTCTTGGGAAATAGACATCACATTGACTTTACAAATGTAATACACAACATCAAATTGAAAGTAGTCTCAGAAACAAAATACCTCCAGCGTTCCCAACAAACTTATCATACAAATTTTGTGTGGAAGTGTGTGTCTGGGATTTGATTTCAACTGAATTCAAATTTAGTCTCATCTTTTCAAACAATGACTTTAGAGACAACATGTTGAATAAAAATACAACAAAGTGTACAGCATAATTATAGAAGACAGAATAAAAGTGATATTGATTATATATCAAAAGCTGCTGCAATGTTGTTCTATGAGAATTTCATCAACATAGCCTTTTGATACCTTGCAGCAGATGTCACCAACGTTCCCTGGAGTTGTCATGCTAACTGGAGGCATTGCTCTGTCTGAGGCTTAGGTGTTAATCTGAGGTTTATTTTAACACAATCTGACCAGAAAGAACTGATTTAGCTGGAACCGTAATAGGTTCCTGAAAATTTGTTGTTCAAATCTATTTTGAAGGCTGTTTTTATCTTTAGTTTTCAAAGTGTCTTAAATGTTTTTGCCAGTGTTGGCTAATGTGTGCATTGTGTCACCATGGTAATGCCTGAACATTCCCCCATACACATACATGCAGACCACCACTACCCCTCTCTCTTCATGATATATACTGAAAAGCAGAAACACCTAGCCTATTTCACATTGTGGATAGCGAAGATGTTTCAGTTACACATTTTAGTTTAGTGTTAGTGTCTTTCTAGCCAGACTAACGCCATCTAGTGCCTCCGCTCAGTTTAATTTCTCTCCAGCGACTAAGTCAGGAATCAGAATACACTAGACATTTTGCAAGATCCCCGAATGTTGTAGACTTCACACCAGCCAATCAGCGAAGAGCTCTGAAGCTATGATTGGGTCTCTTTTGTGGTACAGCACAACAGTAAACAAAGCAGTCGAGATGGATGTAGACGAAGCCATACATTCTGTGTTGGTAACAATTCCCGAGATCGAGGATTCAAAAGCAGAACAAAGAGAATGTTTGGTGAATTTTATCAAGGGGAAAGGCGTTATTGCCCTTCTTCCAACAGGATTTGGGAAAAGCTTAGGGCATGACTTACATCACGACCAAATAGCAGCGATTGGTTAAATTAAAAAAGTGCCCTCCTACCATCGAACAAACGAATCCTAATGCTGCGAGGTCAGACAGTTTCCACAAAGTTAAACTGACTGATGAATCAGGCTAGTGTCTTTCCTCTTCTGTCTGAAAACAAGAAAGACACAAAACACTCAAGATAATCTTTTAATCAAAGTTTGTTTATGGAAAAGAAACATTTTGACTTTAAAGATGATATTGAATATGCTAGTGTACTATTCAAATCCCATTTCCATGACACAACCTTAGCTAACATTTCACGGCACCTGACTTGAGCGATACATTGTCCGCTTGTTGTTGAGAGAGCGAGCGTTCATCTTTCAGACTTGCACACAGGATAGTGGCGTGTAGATATATTATAACATTGTCTTTTAAAATGGCATCACATCTCCATTCCTCATCCTTGTGTTGGTGTGTCTATCCTCATTTTCCGCATGACCAACCCTAGTAATCGTCTCCCATCACAACAGTGGCCACTCCACATCACTCCAGCGCAAGATTGCTCAAATTAAAGAGAAACACGTCACAATAAAGTTCATTCTTTTGTACCTCAGATCAATACAGGTCCGTCATTTTCTTGTGGAGATTAAATAGCATGCAATGTATTATGACATGATAGAGACTCTTCCAGTGTTTACAAAAAGAACAACTGCATTCAAAAAGCTGGTACTATTCCATACATACCTCAATGCATTGTCAGCATCACAAACTATGTAAAACAAGGGTAATTTTGGCATCTGTCAGCCATTAGACTTAAATTTAGACACACTTGACTGATCCACAAGGGAAATTATTTGAACACATTCGCTCACACATCACAATAATATAATAACTAAGAGAACAAATTCAACCACATTTGAGTACATCAGAGATTATTACTGTTAGTGATCAACAATAGCATTCATGATAGCGACTGTGTAATAAACATTTCAGTAGTTTGACAATGCAATTTTAGTTTTATTTCATCAAGCCACAAATCCCACATAAATTACTGAAGTGAAAGAGGAAGTTAGATATTGACAAAAAGCATAATACCCATTCGCAAATGAAACAAAACTGGATAGTGTGATTCTAAACCCTGGAAGAGAGTATCCAATGCCATAGCAACTAACAATGTAACATCAATCATTTCAGTGGTGTAAAGTCCTTAAGATGCCTACAGGAAATTGAAACCCAATAGCTGGTGTTCAGACTGACAGAATTGTTGAACATGGAAAAAAAAAAAAAAAAATCAGCTACCACCGTTATCTTGCATAGCTGAAAAAAACTCACCAAACTTTTGCTGTAATTAAATCTAACTGGAATCATATCTGTTTTCATGCCATTTCTCCGTTGATACCATTTTAATGCGAGCCATGCCAAATGTAGATTTTCTTCCGTCTGTAGTAATACGGCATGCTGAATGAGTAGCTCTCCTCCACGGGAAAAATAAATTGGATACAATCTGATCTAGTCTTCGAGGCTCATTCTGGCTGACTCTCTTAGATTAACGGAGAATGGCACCAGGGAAGAGAATTAACAGATCTTTCTTGCTTGCGCTAAGGCTGTCGAAAAATTGAAAGCCGCTACATTCCGTATGGTGGGGGAGAGGAGCTGAAGAGACTAGCGCCACACTTGACTGCGCAGATTAAGAGGAGTGACAGGGGCCTGTGACTGGCTAATTCAATGTGGGCTCTTTCTGTTGAAAACTATCCATTCTCAACAGTCACTGGAAGCCTCCTGTCTTTTTTTTAGGTTTGAAATCAAAGTCTGCCAGCACTGAGGGGTCATTCAATCTCATACAGTGCAAAATAATTATACATGTACCTCTTCAAACTTACTGCCTGGGCTTGGCTTGTTTAAAGGTGATCTGTGTAACCTTTCTTGCAGAGGGTTTGCCACCTGCTTGTCTTCAAGTTATTGCCATCTTGCATTTATTTAATTATGGATGTTTTTATTGTGTTTTTACTCTTACCTTTAAGTTTAATTCCACACTCTGGCACATCCTCTACAGGTGATGTCTGTGTGCCTGCAAACCTTCCAGCAGTAAAGTTGCGTAATCTGACTTTAAAGGGCTTTGATTAACACTGAAACGTTTTCAAATGATCGCATTAGAGCCTTTGGGACATCAACATCTGAGAAATATAATGAATCATTGATTGAACGAGTAGGCTTTCATTTCTTTTCTGTCCTTTTTTTTTCAAAGGGAATTACTGGGATCCGGTTTGCCAAACATCAGAAGTGCTACATCAGGACCCAAACCAGGAGCCTTCCCCAGGTGACAGAGATGGAAGCAGAGGACACGCAGTCACTGGTACGCCTATGCCCTGCTCTACCGTCTGTAGTCCGGAGCTAGCTGTCATGCATACTGCAGGAGAGATAACCAGAATAGAGCAGGAATCCACAGCCTGTCCATCTTATCCTATCTCCAGCAGACTCTCACTGCAGAATAAACCAAGCCTTGCAGTGTGTGTGAAACCATCTGAAAGGCTGTCCGCGAGCCCGGAGCTGCTTTGTGGCTCACATCAAATAGTGTTTGCTGTCAGTCTTGAGCCCTAAATATTAATATTTAATCATCTCCTCCAAAGGCTCCATCCAAATAGCCTAAAGGGGAAGGGTGCTAGAGATGGCTAAATGAAAGGTAAGCTATTACAACAGTATTTTAAAAAAATGTAGTCTTTGTAAAATTCACCAGCTTTCTATCCAAGTTCAGAGTTATTCATTTTAGTTTTTCCCTGGGTCTTGTACTTCTATGCGAACTCCAGCAAAAGAAAAAGAGGAAGGAATTCAATCAGTCAAAATTCCTTTTTTTTTCAGTGCCACAGTGCAATTCAACTGAGTGGGCTGCGTGTTCAAAGAGAAAATCCCCTTTTCAAATGTCTCTACTGCAAGCATGCGCTCATTTACATTTCCCATTGTAGGGAGAGAAGTAGTTGGCACATACAGTATTTGACGTTCACTGTCTCATCTAAAATACAGAATAAGCCAAAGAGTGAGTCCAAGCAAAACTAAGGCACAGTTTTTACTTTTAAGAGCACACAAGCTGTTATGTACAAAAACAAATCCTGTTTTGTTTTACTTTTCTCATCTTGATGTCTGATCTGAAAGGACACATTCTAATTGCCAACACAGCACCATATGTCAGGAGCTTTTCCGCCACGTTCCTGCACTTTGTAGCGTAATTGATTCATTCACTGGTCCACAATGACTTCTCTTAATCCAAGTAATAGTTCTGGTAAAGTATTTATGTGTTTCATTCTTGAACCTGGCTGCCTTTGCCACATGCTTTAATATAAATGCATTTACCTGCTCCAATAAAAGAAATGTGTATTTTTTATTTACACAGATACAATAAATAATTTTCTGCCTAGATATATATATATATATATATATATATATATATATATATATATATATATATATATATATATATATAAATTCATATAGAATATGGAAACTTAGGTTAGCCATTTTCAGATATTTGATTATACCGCTAAGGTAAATATTTTTATTTGTTCACAATCTTGTGGTGATTCAAGGGCAACCATGGTGGAGTAGGGTAAGTGTCCACCTATATCAAATGTCACCTGGAATACTACCAGTACTATAAAGCTAATACTTTTATGTTTTCACCACACGTTTTCCACAGTAAATCACTGCATACATGGCTGACATATTGTGGCAGAGTTGTTTTCCAACAGAAACAAGAGATATAAATATCAAAGAGCACTGACATTGACCTCTGCAGTGCCCTGCAGAAGTATGTCCTCACATTTGACTGTGGCCCTGGCCCCTGCTCTGTGGAAGTCCTCCATGTCTGCCTCTGCTTTCCATCTGCAACAGGAGGTGCAGCACATGCAGCTCAGGGTTAGAGCCAAGCTCTAATAGTGCACAGTTAAGCCTGCTGCAGGCTTTTAGGAGCAGGGGCTCAGAGCAGCCTCCTCAGGCACTGGGCCCACAACAAAAACAATGGGAAAAATTGCGGGAAAACTGCAAGCGGCTGATAAGAAAAACATTCCCTGTGAGCGAGAACCAGGTGACAAACATGAATTGTTTGCTGGGATGTTTTCCTGTTTTTTCAATTTGTCCTCTCCGAGAGGTATCTGAGGGAATAATCCCTGAGCTCCATCCCGTCCCTCCAGTCTGACATGGAAATTGCCAGCCGCCTCCATCGCAGCTCTCAGCCATGTCAGTGGAGGCTTTTGGCTCCATTAAACAGCCAATTAATATGGATGACCGTAACTCACCCAGCAACCCAAAACTCCCACCGATCCAGACGATGAGTGCAAACAGCCAAACAGCACGGGACTCTCCCTGAATGAACTGTTTGTTTGGTCTGCATGAGGAGATGAGCTCGGTGAATTGTACCGTGACCAGTGGGACCTTGCTCCAAAAACATCATGTTTAAGGGCCTTTGAGCAACTTCCACCACAATTTCCCCAACAGAGGTGACAGCCATGATTCACTGTCCATAAAAACACCAACCCGTGCTGTGACGATGCTCGTGGGCATGGAAGAAGTGTTCCAGGAGAAGCATAGCAGCGTTTCAAACTATGTGTCATGTAGACAGCGGATTCTCCTTGGGGACATAATGGCAGGAGAGGGTAAATTCATTAACTACAGCACAACTGGTGTATAATTAGGTTGTGCACTGTAGGCAGAAAACACACATACAGCAAGAGACAGACTCAAAACAAATCATTCCTAGGTTCCAATATTTGATAAAAAGTTCTGCTATAATAATAAGCCATTTGTCAATAGCCGAAAAGAGGCACGTGCATGAAGGAGGAGCACTGTAATCAAGCTGTCTTTGTGCTTGTCAACTGGCATTTAGAAATCCCTACCCAATGCTAAAATGTTGACCTTTCCCTCTCCTCCCTAAGGCGCTCTCTCTCACAACTTATTGAACTCGTTTCTCAGCTGTGCAGTGGAAGAAGTCGTGTTGTGCGCCCCGTGTCGTGACCCCCATTTACTTTTCGGAGCAGGCTCACTTGGCTTCAGTGGTTAAGAGGTCCAATTAGAGAGGGGTGTTTGTGTTTCTCCAGTTTGATTTTTAATTTCTTCAGCCACTGGAATGGTCGGTACACTCATTGCCAGAGCAATAGTCTGTACCATAGACCAAGTCCTTTGAGTCATCATTAGCCTAACCGTTCAGCGCGCTAAAAGTGAGGGAAAGCTTGTCAAAGACTCAGCTGAACACCTCCCAAACCCGAGATTTGAAGTGAGACAATGGGTTTACAGGATGCTCAAGTCTGTCTCACTACTTCTAAACTTACTTCTGCATTCACACAGACAGGTGATGTTATGATAGGGTGACCAGATTTTCAAAATTCAGAACTGTGACAGACCCGGGTTGGGATGGTTGGTAAAAATACAATTATGAAAAGAGCATGTAACATTGTTAATTCTCGGCTCACTTCTGGTCACTTGCCTTATGGTCATTTTCAAGCATGCTTTTTTGTATTGTGGCTACAAATGACAATGTATGCCCCGCTTTACTGTTGCTGGTGATCAGATTGGTCCAAAATAGAGACACGTAGGACATTTCTTGTGTAAAACTGGGACAAATCAATGGTTTTGGATATATCTGCAGGAACAGGGGACATAGGGCTCAAAACTGGGACTGTCCTGGGTCAGTAGGGGCACCTGGTCACCCTACACTATGAGTTAGAGCTGGGTTGTGACTATTAAAAACTTTAGCAAGTAGCTATTAGCATTTAGCATGAGCCTGTTTGAAAATTTTTAATTACATTGTCCAATATATTATAACTATATCAGAATTTATCAGAAATACATCTCATATTTTGCTGTGGATCTCTCATATTGCATCGTTTTACAAATCTTAAATGGCAGATTACAAAGATTATAACATACATTTTAAGTAAGGATTAATGTAAGCATATAGTTTGATGATAATTAGTGGATGGTATTTCCAGTTATTTTGCCATGACAGAGTAATGTATGTCACCATTCAAGCTTTCAGCTCTGTACACAGTGTTCATTATGGAAGTAAAGCACTGGTTCAGAGCTACCTCATGAATGAAAAGGGAAAATGTCTGACCCGACCTTGATCTTTATGCATTAATATAAATTATAAAGCAGCATATCCGTCGTGGTTAACGCTCGTCTCAGAAAGGTCATAGGTCAGATATGTATGCATGTCTTTCCTTTCTATGTACTGAATAAATACAGAACACACATTATCTGCATGAGTAGCTATCAGTCCTCTATAGTCTGCTCCTCGAGTTTTCATGGTGGCACCTACAAAGATAGAACAAATGGACAGGTTCTGAACCTATTCAGCTGAAAGGTAAATTCCTACTTAATTTTTGCATTATTATTATTTTATGATTCTATACTTATTAATTTAAAAATATATATGTTTTTATTGTATTTTTTTCTGATGACTACTAACTATTTTATAGTGCCCCCCCCTCAAAAATTTTATTTATTTTTTATTAATTAATTAATTAATTAAATTTAAATGTAAACTGGTGGAAATTGTATGCATTTTTTCATACACTTATGTTAGTCTTAAGTATGATTGTCTTAAGTAAATATGTCTTAAGTTTCAGAAAATACAGTGTACATATAACTGTTCAAAGTACAAGACCAATCTTAGCCAACAGTGAAATAAAAAATAAAAAAACCGTTTCACATTATGCAGAAGTTGGGGAATACTTTTATGCAAATATAGTTCAAGGATTTATAAATTTGTGATGTTTATACAATTAAGTAACTGTGCAATGTGTTCTGTCTCATGGCCTGTGCCACAGGGACAGACCACCATGAATGATAATGTACATTCCATAGCATATGTATGGATTTTTAATAGGCCTATGTAATTAAGTGGTACTACACTAAGTATGTGACTGGAGACATTTCATCACATATTATAACACACATGTTGATGACAGAATGCACCCAGCTTATTCTAATTCCAGTTAGAATGGTGGCATCCAATGAGAAGGAGAGAGCACAACCTAATACAAATGAATCTGACTCCTACTATAGCCCCAGGATTCTACGTCAAGCTTAACTAATGTGCAATTAAGCTTTAGACTGGGAGAAAATCACCTTGTACAAACATTAGTCAAGTGAACTGTTTTCTGTTCGGGGGCTGCTAATTATCAGGGGAATGGGAAGAGGGCTTTGTTTGTGTGTGCGTATTTACATATACATGAAGAAAAATAAATATGTGCACTGTTATAGCAGTGCATGACCCAAGTGTCTTCATATGTCTCTATTAGACAACACTGACATGTAGACCTTATCATTAAGCAATAATAGTTGACTTTACAGCTCATGAACTGCAGTATCAACAAATTACACATGGCGATTGCATTGGAGCCAAGCAGAGCATTGTGGCGTCTGGGTGGGAGTGTGGGGCTGAAGAGGAGGGGGGAATGCATGGCTTTATTGTGTCTGTCACATTAAATGATATTGCTGCCACACTCCGAATAATGAAGACCACTTCTAAAGTCATTTAAAAGTCAAATCGTCACTGTCTGTGAATTTCAATAATATAGGAGAATAGAAGGAGCATGCCGCAGGCTGCAGGAGGGGTGAGGGCAAGGGGGAGAGAGCAGTGTAGTCAGGACCCTCTCTGTGGACTCACAGGTGACAGATAAAACAATGAGGGGAGACACACCCTGGGACATTTGTGTTTCAGACGCAGCAGGCGGCCGATGGTGCACATGTAGAGGTGGTGCAGGACTCCAGAGTGTGGGTTCCTGCCGAGGAGCCCATCATTAACCCAGCCTTCCTTTTCGACTCCAAGATCTGGGAGATTTGCCAGGAGCTGCCCATCCACTGGATCCACCCCACCCCTCTAAGTGGTAAGAGCAGGGGGCACTGTTGCCCATTAACACAGTGCTGGAGGGCACTCCTGCGGGTTATAACTGAGCCTAGTGGGATTAGCTGCCCTGGCTACTGCCATGGTTCTGCTAAAGACTGATGGCCATCGGGTGGTTTCCTTTTTGCTGCAGATTAGATAAAAATCTTTGGAACACTCTTTGTATTTGCATCATTACAACAGCAGCAGCACTGTTTGACAAAGCCATGAAAAGTTTGGAATCAGATCCAGTCCATTTATCCTGAATGTTCCTGATTAACATCCAGCCACTGGGAGGAGGCTCACAAAAAGAGCTATAATGTGATTTTACAACCTCTCATTTCTCTCCATAAAATACAAACAGCTCCTTTTCTCCTTTCTCTTTTTCTTGTGTTCAGATGCTGAGGCTCTGGAGGTGGACACACCTGACGCAGAGGTCATAGGTCAGCGAGTCGCCCGTGACGTTCTGAACCACCTTCCTGTAAACGACTATGTAAGTTCTGCATGTGTTATCCTCATCCAGCCTGCAGCGTACAACAGGCAGTTACAGTAGTCTTTTCCATATGCCTCAGCTCTGCCTGCACTCTCTCTGCATAGAAATCGCTCACTAATTGATGTTAAAACTGACTTTGTGCACCGGAGGGCACGGCAATTGCTCTATATATCTGTTTAAGTAAGGCCAGTTCATTGAAGACTCCCTTAATGTCTCCCCATTAATTGAGAGGAATATCCAGCCTTTCAAAGGCAGCCGCTTATGCCTACAGCGGCCGTTAGTGCCTTTCTCTCATCTTTTTCCGGGGCTCTGCAGAGTGAGCTACAAAGGAGCACATTCAAGGTCACTCTCTGCTGCGCAGATAGGTTACATTTATTAATAATGCTTTAATTATCAAAGCACATAAGATGAATAGGAAGGCCAAGTGGCATATTTGGGTGTTGGATGTGAACGCCACACAGAGCTGTATGATTAATTATCCTTGACTCGGCTGAAATTCTGAAGCAGAAGTATGTTACTGAGAGATGGATACAAAATGGAACTTGCACACTAAAGATAGGACCAACACTGGGGCAGATGTCAGCACGTACCAGCAGCACTTACAGGTGAATAGGCTCTAAAGCTAAACTCAAGATAATGACTCCAGCTCAGGCTTCTCTTCAAAGCACCTGGAGATATGCCGAAAATGAGACGTCCCATAATGTTGACATTTATCAGACTCGTCCCAGATACACCACCCGCTCAACTCTTCAATTTCATCTCCTTCATCGTGTGCAGCACAAATGGAGCACGCCACGCAATTAAAACATACCAGGGGGATAAAAAACGCCCGCTCCTCCTTTTGAAACCTTTTGGCTTTATCAGCAGAGTAATGCATACCACAGCAGTTCATCCCAGAAGTTTGCCTGGCCATGTTTATGGGTCCAGTGATAATAAAGGCCTTTGTGACCAGACCAGTGCCAGCAGCCTGTAAAAGGGAGTCTGAACTCTGCATGGTGCAAGACAGCAGGATGCTACTTGTGCTTTTTTTTTTTATTCTTCTTCCTCATTAATATACTTAAACATGAATTCAAAAGTCAAGTGTTTGGTTATAGTCACTGCAGTTAAACAAAAAGTGTTACACAAAATTGACTGATTAGGAATGTTGCAACCTCATCAAAAACATACCCCAATTTGTGTTTTGTTTCATTCACATGTTTAAATATTCCTGGTTTATTATTCTGTCTACATCAAGAGAGATTTAAATTTCTTTTGATTTTTAATTTAGATCTAAACACAGTGGACAGTGGACATGACATCACAAGGTGGAACATAGTGTTTTCTGTTTGAGATATAAACACAGCCTAAATATGCAGAGTTTGTGTGTTAAACGTGTAATTGAAACAATACAAGACTCCACGGATATTTTTGATAAGGAAACAATATTATAAAATACAGACATAGTCTAATGTGGCTGCATTAACAGTAAAAAAAAATATTGATAATGTAATGTTAATTCATAGTGTGAATATGAAATACCAATAGTTGATTAAGCCTGAATATTGCATGATTTTTCTCTATAATACTACTTTAACTCCCCATTATACCTAGCTGGGAAATAACTCAAATAACGTTGCTACCAGCTCCTGATCTCCTCGAACCTTCCTCGCACATTTGTGACCACACCGCTTTCCCTAACTAAATTAAAATGCATTCTGAAGTTTGAATTTCAGCTGCCGACACAGTTTGTAAAGCAGAATAATGGTCTGAGTCTTTGTGACAGAGCCCGGCAGATATATGAGGCTGACCTTTGCCACAGCTGCCATGTCTCTGCAGTATGTATCAGAGGTGGCCCTGGAAAACTCAAGCCTCATAACGACCACGTGACAAACTGAAGGGATACCACAACTGTCCTTGACCCACACCACCAAGGATGTAGCTCCACTGTCGACCAGCTCAGGCAGCTCACACAATCAGAGTGAACACTGGCACATCTCAGGATCCGGAGTTTTCTATTTATAATGTAACGATGAGTCTTAAAAGGTGCACTAGATAACTTTACTGGTGGAGGGTATGCCACCTACTTCTCTCTATGGAAATGTCATTGCATTGGCCAGAATCTTTCACAGTATGGCATTAAATTTGTCTATCTTCATGAAGACAAACAGGTTACACACAAGCCAAGATACAAGTCAGATCCACACTCACAACAATGCATCTTTTAAAGGGCCTATATCATTTCCTCCTCAAAAATATGATCGGAGTTGTGTCTTGTTTCATTCACACATCCACAACCTGCATGTTTAGGCTGAGTTCTTCTCTTAGACATAAAAACACTTTGTCATGTGGTAATATAGGTGCTCCGCTGTGTTTTTAAACCCCACACACCTGTCACTAGAATCATTTGGATAATTTTTTAGACTTGGAATTGCTAATGTCTACTGAACAAAAGGTAAAAGATAGCTCTTAAGTTGAAAACAGCTGCTTCATGGCACCACAAGGTGTAACAGAGAATTTTGAGCTTTGGAGATGTAGACAGACTAATAATAAAGAGTGTGAATGAAACAAAACGTGTGAATGAAACAAAACACAACTCCGGGTATGTTGAGGACAAGATATTAGCATTTTAACATGACTCAAAGCTCACAAGAGTCCATTTTGCATAATTTATAACCATTAAGGTATGTTTGAGCAATAAAACACCTTTAATTGAGAAAAAAACTTGATTCATGAGTCATTCTGTGGAAAATTCTAAGTAATGCAGTAACATCTGAATGGAGACAAGCTGGTGGCAGAGCCTATCGCGGAAAAGTAACATGGACCTTTAAACCAATTATATATTTTAAAAGATTAGGATCAAGGGTTAAGAGAACTGTCTCATTCTATCTAATTATTATTGTTATGCAAAGCAAAATTCCCAGTATTACTAAATCTCTATTGAAAAACACAGTCGAGACGTTGTGTTGTGTGTTGCATAAATGGTGATAGCTTACATGGGAAGTGATGAAGCTTAATACATTTTAGATGAGGCTACTTGAAATGAAGTTGCTTTTGTTTAAAAGCTGTGGACAATGAGAGCCATATGACAGGGGCTCTATCCAAAACTTCTAACAGATGCTACCAATTATCCGTGGCTTTGTTAGAGCACAACAGTTGCCATTGTTTCTATTTAAAAATGATTGATTATTTATTATTATATCTTTGAGGGCGGATAATAGCATTATTCATTAGTACAAGAAAGTATAAAATCACAAAAGACTTCTTAGAAAATCCTGAGCGTAGTATTTTCTTCCCTCATTTTCTGCATGACTAGTGTGAACATATTTATTTTGTGTGGGGAAATCTGGACTGGTAACCCTTTTCTCACTGCAAAAAAGACGCTATGTTTATACCCGACTAGCTGCTTGGTCATGCAACAAAATCAGATGGAACTGAAATAGATGAATGCACCAACTGTTTGTATGCCTCAAGAGAAATCGAAGCATCTTATCACTTAGGTAAACCACTAGAGTTGACTAAAGCGCATTATATCTTTGTTCAATTACAACTCATCGTCACCCTCTGCAACGCTGAGATGAGAATTGGAGATCACTGTATTTCGCATGTCGCAGAATTCTAAGCATGCTACGAAGTGTTATCACCGCTGTTTTGATCCAGGAATGAATTTAAAATTGAGTGAAAACAGCCAGGCGTGTGTGTGCTTGGTGTGTAGAACCGTGCAACCAACAAGTGCACAGATTAAAGGATGTTGTGCTTTGATGAGTTGAATGACTGACTACTCTCATTCATATCCCATAATATGCATAGAGGTTTCTTGGAGTATGTGTGTGTGATGAAATCAGATGCAGCATGGAGGTAATGGCTTCTGCTCTTCATTAACGCCGCTTGTTTGTGTGCAAGTGCCTCAGATTTCCCAAGGTGAACCGCTCCTATCGGTACCCGCATCACGCCACACTCAAAGCTGAATAATATGTTTTAAAAGGATAGCTCTGATTAATTGTCTTTGAGCTCGCATGCCTCCTACTGGTTGTTTGTTTTGATAACTGCAGTTTCATTTGAATAAAATATTGCCCTCATTTTATGTTTTTTTGGGGGGGATTTTCGAGTATCACGGTACGCGGCTGTGAGGGGCAGATAAGATTATCGTTGGTCCATTGACAGTTTTCGTGTTGTTTCCATAACAGATTGTTGCCTGGGAGCTGATGACCTGAAACTTGACTGAAATAATAAATCATTAAAAGGACTATGCTGTGCTTGTCATCGTAATAAATCAGACGCAAGCTCTCCCTTCTTAAGATGCATGTAATTTTGTCATATTCATCATATCTCACACAGTGCACTGTAAGAGTGTGGCTTTAACACGCGATAGCCCTTAGACTGTATAAAGCCGTGGACTAAGGGAGTGTGACTTCATCCATGGTGTTCAGCTCCAGTCAATTGAAGATGATGATGCTAGTGGTCACAGGGGTGAATCTGGAGCTGCGTTTCATTTTAGGAATAGGAATTTATTTATGGACAAAATATAACAAAATGAAAACATCAGGATCATGTAGAGCGGGTTACTATAAACATTTTAAGATCAAGTTATAGAGAGGAGTGACGATTTTTTAAATGTAAAGTCAATTGGGGCCAGAGTCAATGGAGCTGGAAGTGCCCTCATGCTCACTTCCTATTTGGAATGTGGCAGTTAGCTATGTCCATTTATATATACAGATGATAGCACCACCTCAAATTTGCTTCACAGTTTTCCCAGGATGACAGTGTATGGTCATATGGTCAAATTAAACAATTCCATCTTGTTATAAAGTTGATCTAAATAGCTGTCCTGGTGCAGAAAAAAAGGAAAAGGTGGCTTACATGATGTCAATAGCGTTTTCTGTATAACACAATAACAAGCAAGCAAGCAATAAGTGTCTTGACACAATTGAACTGACAGTCTTTTCCATCATCTGTCATTTGTGCCTTCACTGGGATACTACACTATAAGTACAAAAAAAAAAGAAAAAAAAGAAACAGAATTAAAGCCACCTTTTTTTTATTAACAATATAATATTATGTAATTAGACAATACAAATACAATACAACATTTTATTCCTTACTTTAATACAACTGTAGGAGAAACAATTGCAAAAGCCTGTTCTAGACTTCCCACTGTTTCAGCAGAGATGAAAGTCAGCCTCTAAATCCCTTCCATAATATAACAGGGGAGTAACCGGGCTCTCCGTGTGCTCCTGCGGGTCCTGTCCTCTTAAACAATTCACACACATTTCCTATTCCCAGCAGTGGATGTGTTTTGTTCTGCCCCACTGCATGTTAGCTGAGTCATTTTTTAAACGCTTACAAAGGGAATTATGCCAGTTTGTTGTGGGAGTGTTGAAGTCAGCAGTGCGCCCCGGCTACTCCTTCTCGTGGATGCCATGCTTTTAGGTCTGTCTCCACGGGTCCATTTGCTAAAAGAGATTGAAATGTGGTCAAATGCTTTTCGACTCCTTCCACTGGTGAGTTAAGTGGCACTCCAGTGAACCCCCAATTGGACTTGTTCTCGTTCAAAGTCATGCCAAGCGACCCCCGCCAGTCCACAGCGCAACCCGCACAATGGAAAAATCCAAGGGCCATTAATTCTACCCAATTTACCTTTCGCTTGGCCCACCTCTATAAATTCCGAGGCAGCCAGTGAGCGCAAATGAAAGAATCCTTGTTAGGGCGATCATTACACTGCTAATTGCTTTAGGAATGTGGCGCACACTTAAAGTCAAGGTCAGGGGGAGGGCGCCAAGGCGTGGGGAGTGCTAATTTGAATGCTCGATTGGTGGGAAGGGGAGTCGGCCATTTTGGAGCAGGCAGAGAGTGTGTTTCATTCGGGGGAGTTAAAGAGGTCAGAGATGAAAGGAATAGTGTAATTATGCTGGTAACTACTGAGCGCACGAGTGTCGTTGAGTAGAGACAGTCCTGTCAGAGAGACTGAGAGAGCAATGTCAAGGCCACAGTGGAGCTACCTCTGGCATAATAGAAAGGTCAAGATGGGATTAGGCCACATCATGTTTTATTCTCTGCCAGCTGGAATCAACCGTGCAAATATCAAGTCATTGTCACACAGTTCATCTGCATGACTTAAGATTTTGAGTTCATTTCATGTACTTATTATTATTAGCCTAGTAGTAGAAAAAAAATCTAAAGTCAATCTGGACAATTAAATCAATCGATGTTTGGACTGCCATTTTCACTCTGAAGGTACTAGCTGTTTGTAATTAGTTGGTGCTCATTTATTTTTTTTACTATTTACGGGTACCATCCAAAGATCTATTGCATACTGTACATGTTTTTGGAGACACTAATTTCACAGTGTGTACTTCTAAAATTAAAGACGCATTGTGTAACTTTTCTAGTGAAGGGTCCTTCAAATGCTTTTCTCCATGAAGATATTATTGATTTGTCTGGAATATTTCACAGTATAGTATTTGACTTTTCTATCTTTATGGAAACAGTCAAAATGCCATTTTTTGGGGTATTTTTGAAGTATAAAACCACCTGTAATTGATTCAATGTAAGGTAGAGCTACATCCATGGAAACAAGGAAGAGACAGACCCCCAAACGAAAAGTAGTGCACCTTTAACTTAGATGTTACATTCTACAAAAACACTGGTCTATACATTGCTAATTAATATTAAAAATGCAGATACTATTTCCCATTTCTGGCAAATTAGTTGACATCACAGATGAGTAACGATTTCCTTGAAACCAAAAGAATGCAGGTAAAAAACAGTGCTACCTTCAAGTTGTTGGCACAAAAATGGTATGGCTATGCAAATGCCTGTGCAAAAGGACCTACGTATACAGAGCTGTCATCTATAGAGCAACAGTGCTTTTTTTCACAAGGCGTTGGTTCTTATGACAAACAGCAGGCCCATCCATTCTCACAGTGCTGTAGCTCTCACCTTGCCTTGGGACCGGTGGCATTTGTCGTGTGTGTGTGTGTGTGTGTACGTGTGTCCGACTGTAACCCTCTGTCCCACCTCCCGTGTCCTTTTGCAGAGGGATGTCGGCATCGAGCTGGATAACCGCTTGGATGACCTCGGTTACTGCTGCCAGCACTGTCGCCGTGGTTACCGCTACTGCCGCCGCTACCACGAGCCGCTGGGTGGTTTCAACCCGTGGCCCTACTACTACCAGGGAGGCCGCACCATCTGTCAAATTGTCATGCCGTGCAACTGGTGGATCGCCCGCATGCTTGGACGAATCTGAGAGGGAAAGGCCTGTTTTGTCCCTTTGTATAGGTGGGGTGGTGCAGTGGTTTGATAAATATTCCAGACCACTTGTGTGAGTAAAGCAGTCCATTGCACGCCATTATTTCCCAATCAGAAAGTTGGCCCATTGAGCATTACTCAGTCTAAATAGTTTAATTAGGACTTCAAGCTTTCAGAATTTTTAAAAAGGCAAAGCTATTTACTATGGGCTCTTTTGGGTTCGTTTATCAACTGTCAGACTCTCAAATCCCACTTGGATTATAATTTAAAATAGCCACAAAAGGCACTGTCTTATACATTTTACATGAAACATCCTATTTAACTTTTTTACAATCATTCCATTATTACCTTCTATATCAAAGAGCATGGCTTTTATGAAATTATGTTTCTATCTTTTATGTATTTTTTTTTTCAGTGTATCTGTCTACACACTATTTTACCAGTTTTTATAGCTATTTTTGTTTATATGTCCATTTATATTCAGAATATAACACATGATACCCTACACCATAGAAATCCATTGTGAATGCATTGACAGACACTGCACTGATCAAGCATAACATTGTGACCACTTGATGGTCATTACATGGTGATTTGGAGATTCATATACAACAAACTGTGAAGAATTTTACTAATCATTGTATTATTATATCAGCTTTAAGACAAAATACTGACCTGTATGAGCTGGTGCTTAATGATGAGATACGTAACCTGCAAGTGACCATAATGTCATGCCATATTAGTCATTTCATACTAGTGAATTAAAAATAGTCTTTCAGAAACTCTAGCTCTAATAAGAAGGCATAAGAAAAATAGTGATAAAGATCTGACCAAAATGTATCTCTGTTTGTATATTGCCTGTGTTATCATCTTTATCAGGATTCGACATTGAAAAAGACATATTATACTTTTTTTCCTGCTACATAGTAATAGGCTATAACAAAGATCATTATTTAACATGCTTTTAGTTTTGAAAACTGGCTACATAGATTTTCTGAATAAACTTTATAGTTGGGTACTCACCCATATGGGGTAGTTGAAATAAAACATTTTCTGAACACTCAAGCCCATGATTCAGGACAATGTAAGATTACTCAACCAAGCATGAATCACTCAAAATACAACTTTAAGTAACTTTGAGAGAACACTGTTGGAATATAGTAAAAGCTCATAAATTTCAGAAGCTAAAATATGGCTTTTAATACAGTACTATAAAGGACTGGCATAAAATTCAACTGTTTGTTACCTAAATGGAAATATAACAGTGTTTGGCTGGTTCGTTAATCTTGATATCACCTTAATCTTCATATTGTGAGTACCCACATTTACATCTATCATTATTTGTTTTACTTGTGCATTCCATTGTCCCATTGGTGCAAAATCTATTAATTCACTTGTGTTTCTTCTTCTCTGCGATGATACATTACATTTCCAAGTGTCTGGCTCAAACAAACTGTGCAGAAGAGCTAGATCTGCATTTGTAATTGTTCTGTCAGGTGCATAAACACTCTGGTGTATTAAATGAACACAACACTACTTCTCTGTCACTTTGAAGCCTTCCTGTACGTATATCTCTTTGTGATACTTTCAATTAAAATTTCATTGTATCGAATAATCTCACCTGTCACAATCATATGAAACAATATCCAAGAACTTAATACCCTGGGGTGTTTGTGTCTAAGCAGTTAAAAGTGTGTGTCTTGTTGCAATCCATATAATAGACACGTCTTCTCTATCTCTCCTTCATTAGTCTCAGTGCTCATTAGCAGAAACATTTAGCATGAAATTAAATGAGCGTACTGACAGAGACATCTACAAGCCTATATAGCTTTTCTTGTTTTGCGTTCCATCTTGTCTCCTGGGAGCATTGTAATAAAGCATTGTTTATATAAAAGCTCTCTCCCAGTAAATAAATATTGTTTTTGATTCATGTCAGGAGAATGAGTATGCTAATATAGTCAGTTACATCAATAATATTTGGCAGCTGAAACCTGGTTTGGCTCAAAACATATTACTCTATGTAAATGTTTTATGGATATGCTCATAAATGAGAGTTCAGGCTTGCTACCATATTGTTATTTTTAAATCAATAATGGCAATGGCCCCAAGCAATGTGTCGAGTAAAGAATAGTGCCGTTGCAAGTTAACAAATGCAGTAATTGCAAACATACTTCAAATAAACTGACAAATGTACAGCTGAAGCCCCCCAAGGCACAATAGAAAAAAGTTTATAAATATTGCTGTACTATATAATTTTTTGTTTCCTTGCAGATCATATCAAATAGTCACATTGCTTATGAAAAAATGCATGAAGTCACTGCACTTTATTTTGCAATATTATGATTTTTTTGTAGTTGTCTATCCAGCAATGTCTCTGAGGAATCTGAAGACTTCTTTTGTGCAGCGGTGGAGAGAGTAAATTGCCATGGAAGCCTTGAGACTTGCGTTTGAATGGGATGGCTTGGACCTGAGTGGAGAAGGTTGATACAGATATTACAGTTGGGTTCCCTCTGAGCTCCTTCCTACCTCCGGGACTAGAAAAAGTTTAATAATTTTAACCATGAAAGTCAAACTTGAAAGTGGTAAGATTTGTGACAGTTAAAAATCTTTATAGAGAGCTGTAAAGACGCCTAAGTGACGCTAGGGGTCATATAGCACAGTAGAGTCTACTCAACTTAACACAAACGAAGCACAAATCATCACAGGAGCGGGCATCAAAGGCGTGTCAAGATGGTGTTCGTTTCAAATAGGCTATAGGGTGAAAAAGCATAATGTTAAGTGAATAATGAAGAATGCCAGTAGTAATGTTTAATTCAGCGGCTGTGCTAACGTATACGCAAATGTTCAGAAAATGTTCTGTACAAGAAGTGTTTTATTTAGGAGAAATCTAAAACAAATGATCTGATTGCCAATTCCATCGCAAGCTGCTGTATAAATAGACGTGATTTGCATCTGCAATTCAAGGCGTGCTTGAGTAATATCTATAATATTGTAGTTAAGTCTCCAAGCTTTCGCCTGAACCCTTCGCCTTTTTAAAGTGAATATAAGAATATAAATCAAAAAGAAGCGCGCCTTTCATACTCCCCTCGAGTGCTTGTTTATCACAGTTTTGATGAGGAGGTGGAACAAGGTGGACCGCGCAGCGGGAGGGGCGCAGATAGTGGTGCGAAAAAACGCGCAGGTTGTGGCGCAGTTCAAAGGAAACCGCATACGCTGCCCGAAGCTATATTCACCATCAAACTTGAGTGAATTAATTTGTCACTTATTTAAAAGGGGGGCACGTGAAGGGAAAATTCTCCTACTTATTTTCATTTCAAATATCATCCCTTCGTTCGGTTAGATCTATGACTATTGTTGGATAGTGGAGAGCGGAAACCAATGTATGAGGAGTGTCTGTATTTAGAAGAGCGACCAGAGCACTAAGCGACTGTGGTGCTTCTCGCTGCAACAAGAAATACACAGAAGGACGCGTGTATTACCAGTGCCATCTTGTGGAGAGGTTGCCGTCCTGCGCAATTGCGCTGGCATTTTGATCCAGATGTTGTTTTTCACACTTTTGAATCACATTTTAACGGAACTCTTGTAACTTTCGTTTGGTTTGTCGTTTTATTATATTTTATTCATCCATTACTTACTCTCCTTCAAGAAATCAAAACAGACAGATATTTTTATATGACAATGAGGCATTGTGATCCAATGCGTTATGTCCGGGCCAGTCTGGTGAGCTGGTGGTTAAATCTCTTTTTCTCCTTTCTACTGTTTCTGCCATAAGCTCGAGGCACAATAATGTCAGTTGTCATCCCTCAGCCGTCCCCACTGTGAGAGGCAGCATGGCACAGCAGTAAACACTCGCGCGGTGTCATTGGCTGCGGGCGACACAGAAATAGTCCTCCCGCGCACTCCCTCTCTCCCTCCCTCTCTCCCCGGGCCCGGCCCTCCTCGCTCCATCTTCGGGGCTCTCTCTGATTCAGTCACCACCAGTTGGAGCAGTGCGCACATAAAGCATGCTAGTAGCCTTCCATTACTTTGGTAATCCATAACAACCATTCGCTTACCATATGGCAGCCCGATCGATGCGCGAGCTGAGCAGGAAAAGCAAAGTGTCTGTTTGAGTGTAATAGAGGGTTGTGTCTTGTTCACTGCTTGAGCAATGATTTTAAAAGCACTTTCCCTCTGTCGAAGCGAGAATGGCCGCTTTCAGTGTTTTTAATTTTCAGCTAAAGGAGTAGGCTGTGGCGTTTACAGTCCTACTTCTAAATATTAACAGATCATAACATAGACCAGTGCTTCTCAAACTGTGGTACGTGCACCGGATGCCTCTACAGGTACGCGGGGCCTTCTGAATGTATTTTATGTAGAGAGAAATCTATTAACATTGTTGTCCTCCTGTGGGGAAAAAAACAACATTTTTACATCCACGGTTTTGTCTAATTTTAGAGTATAGACCTTATTTAGGCCTAATGTGGTCCGAATTTGGGGTACATGGTGTTGGCGGGAAAAGTAGAACCACTGACGCAACAATTAAAGGCATACATTCTCCCCAGCGCAAAGATCTATAGAGCAATATAGAAGATTAGAATTGATGTAACTGATAAAAAATGTAATGGATACAAAATAGAAATTTATAGAAATAATGTGTTTATTGATAATTTAAACATTCATGTTAATCTATAATATTATATATTTCTTTAAACAGCCTTTGAGCCCTAGAGGACACACACACTGCCCCTCTACAGTCCATGCGAGTGCTTAAACCCTGTATTGGAAGGCGAGGTGCACAGAAGTGTGGGTGTAGGCAACGCCAGGCTCTGTAGGCACAGCCGACTGCCAGACAGCTTCCTCCACCCGCCACCCTCCCTGAAACCTCACACAAGCGCTCCATCCAAGCCAAAACTCACATCCACACAACACATGCTGTAATCCATCTCCGTCAGTGCAACCCTTCCACTCGCCAAGCAGCACCTCCTCAGCACTCACATCAATTCAGTCACAGCAGCAGCAGCAGGGACCCTCTCCGCTGTCTCCAGCTCTGGGCATGTCATATGTTAATGTATTCATCCGCCCACAGCCTGCACTGGAGAAGCAGCACCACTCTTAAGTACAGTCCAATCAGTCTACAGTCTGCTAATGGCTCCCAGCCAGTCACCACACTGGCTTTTTCTGACTTTTCAAATGTCATGTGGTCAAATGTCCCTGCACATCCACACAATAAGTTTATGAAAGAAAATGAACCTACTTTTATTATTCCCAGCACAAGAAATTAATTGACCAAGTGAACCCTGTTGGAGTTATATTCCCTAAGGTTTAATTTTGTTTGCTGATGTCTCCAAATAGCCTTTATGCATCTGTGTTCCCTCACAAAAGCGACAAAATAACAATCACAAGGGGAGTACATGGAAAGAGATCGTTTTTAATTATGCATGACGGTTGTTTTTTTTTTGTAAAAGTCTATTCTATATTCAGCATAAAGAACTCCATTGCCAACCCAAGACAGTTAACGCAACAAAAACTAGCAGACATAGCTCAGACAGGAAAGTCAGAAAGCAGCTCAGGATCTGAGACTTAAATGCAAATGTAACCCAGTGTAAATTGATTGTCCTTATAAATTTTCATACGAACTTAAAAAAAAAATATATGTATACATTCGGAGCAGACTCTGTGTAAGCAGCAGTTAAGTCCTGTCCTTAGGTGCTGGAGCAGATGGAGGTCAGTATGTCTCAATGCCCTCAGCGTGAAGCTACAGTCTGGGGAAAATACAACCAATTTAGCCGACAAACCGCTCAGGATCAATATGGCTTCATCCAGGCAGGACCAAGGGGCCAATCAGATGGCTGCCCTGAGAGGTCCTTAACAAAGTGGGCCAGCAAATGAAGAAGGCACAGACTGGACTGACCCCTGAGCAGGAGAAGAGAGAAATGGGGCTGAACTGGAGCAGCAGAGAGAGAAAAGCAGAGGAAAGGCATAAATTCAAGAGCACAATGGTGATTAGATACTTAAAGGTTTGTGTATGTCCACCATAAGGAGAATCCAAGCACATTCATGATTAAATCAAAAAGGTATCTACAATATAACAATAAAACAGCAGTATAATAATGTACGATTAAGCTTTGAGTCAAAAAAATACCTCCTCATCATACAGTATCTGGTGCTATTCAAATGAAGTAATCATCTTTTATAGTAAGCTTCATCCTCACTGTTATATTCACTGCATTTCCCTCATGTTTACACATGTATAAGTCAAATGCGCTTTTTTATACAGAATTTAGAAATTCACAAAATAAATAATTTGATGTGGCCATAAACTTGAATCTAAATTGTATCAATGTATACATATACATGTATTTATACAGTATATTCCATTTCATATAAACACAGTTTAAACCTTGAAGATATAGACTTTGCTTTGCCTTGCATATTTTTCTCTACTTGTGCCTCACTATCTTAATGGTGCCTTTGGACTATACAAAAAGCTTTGATGTTCAACTGTCCTTGGAACACACAAATGCCCATTTCCATAGTAACACCGTGTTTTAAGGCGCATAGTGGGAGAGGATGGATGGCTTTTATGGTTGTATCAAAATAAATGAGGAAATAAGTTCTTGAAAGCAATTTAGCCCATTGTTAATCGTTTGCAAGTTGTTTCCAAAGTCTTGAGCTTTTAAACCTCCTGTAAGGCACACAGCTGAGCTCTAAGAGCAAAGTATCTGGTTTAAACACACATGCACTGGGCATGCCCTCATCTCATTCACTGCACCGTTTGGCTTTCAGTCTCCTGTTTTGGTTTAAGCTGGTATAAAGCAAGTCTCTTTAAACATAAAATAATGTTAGGGTAATTTACTAACTGGCACATATGGTTTATAGAGATCACTGGTTTATCCAATGGCGCTTCTCCTCGTGGGCATGTGTCTGTCTGGGTGAAAGTCTATCAAAGGTAATTCCAGGTCTCAACAGGGATTTATTCTAAACAAACAATCCCACAAATCTTGAAAATTAGGCACATGGTCACAAATGTGTGAGTAAACAATAAATCCTGAGGCTGAGCTTAACAACCTTTAAGAGCACTGTGCTGCAAGATCCCTTGCTCTGATCTTTGATCAGATTACTGTGGAGGGAATAGAAACATTTAGTTTGTGGTCAAATTGGTTCAAATGCTCTTGGTGGAGCATGTGAGGAGTCCCACTGCCCTCAGGCCTCTGCAGACTCTGCCTTTATCTGGATAAAGTTTGCAGGCAACTGCAGAGAGAGGGGGAGCTCGCCCAGACTTTTGAGACTGTGTTGTGGTTGTAGAGACATCTCCCCGTGCACCTCCAACTCTTCTACAGGGGTCAGGCCTTCACTGGGGCTGCTGCTCTGGGAGGCATGTCCGTTCATTATAGTTTCACTTTCAGCCTCTTGGCTGTGCTCTTGACTGCTGTCAATGATCACAGTTCGGTAAGAGAGCTCGGACTCGCCCACCTCCAGCTTTTCAAATGTATTTGCTGCCAGTGATGGATCACCGTTCACTATAGACTGGAAGTAGCTTGGGTCCAACATCTCCTCTTTGACCTGCAGCCCAGAGAGGTCACTGGATTTGAGCACTGTAGCAATGACAGTGCCAGGCTGCTGAGCCACCATAGTCTGCCCACAGGTGGTGTTGATGGCTACCAGGCGTGGCAGCCCATTGATGTTTGAAGCAGTTGAACTAATGACTCCTGGTGGAGATGTACAGGAAGTGGAGGAAGAAATCATGGAGGGGTTCAGGCTGGTGACAAGTAGGCCGTCTTGAAGACTGCTGGCCCCACCTGTTAGAGAGGCTGTTTGGATGGTGAGCATCTCCTTCCCAGCAGCTGTGCCAGAGGGTACTGTGTGGAGTATGACCCGAGGGGGGGAGGAAGTGGCTGAGTCCCCATTGGCCAGAACTGTGAGGGGCATGGACTGGAGAGATCCAGGTGAAGTCATAACCATGGGAACAGATGTGGGAGCACTGATGTTCCTTAGGAGAAAGAATAAACAGGCTTAGCATAAATAAACCAGCAAACAGAGTATCTAACCGGGTTTCTTCATCTTCTCTTTTAGCCTTGTTGTATTCAAATATTAATTTTGTGTCTTCATAATATAGACAAGGATTATTTTTTAATGGAGCCTTACTGCGAAGTTACACAGTGCACATTTATAATCCTACCCAGCAAAACTAATGCCCTTATTAATATAATAAACTACACTGTCTGTTGTACTGCAGTAGTCATTATTCTCCATGTTTTTCAAGTGCAAACAATGTTGAATAGTTGATAAAATATGCAGCTGACTGATACAGTAACAAAACACCAAAGCAGAGACTAGAGCTCATTTAATATGTAACATGAGGCATTGTTGTAAAGACTTGCCACCTTTGGGATCTAGTTCCTACAACTCATGTACAACTCACTACATGTTCTGAATAGCCTTTTCATTTGCCTTCACACAACCAATCTGTAAATTATAATACATTAAGAACTGTGCCAGCTCTGTGTTATATAAATATCAATATAAAAAGTTAGTAATTCTGTATGATGGCATATGTATAATAGAATTATTAATGCCATTATGTCAAAATTAAGGGGTGTCATTTAACTATCAACCAACAATAAATTATAAATAAATGTGTATCAAATAAACAATATCTGCAGTTTACTAATCAGTGATTTTTATACTCCCTGTGGTGAATATGAACATAATTTAAATGTGTGTGTATAAGTACATTGGCTGTGTGTTCCCTTACCTCATAGCTTGTGTTGGGTCCTGAATAAGAGCACCTTGACTGGCTTGCAGCATATGAACAGATTGTAGTTGTTCGTCCAGTTCTTCCTCTTTGATGTGTCTGTACAAAATCTCATCATCAGGTTCTTTCTTCATGCTCCTGGCCTGGAGATGGTGCTGGCTATGGGTTCGACTGTTTCCCTTGCGAACCACAGACCTCCCATTTGTGGATCTTTGGTTTCCATAGTTTACATCAGAGCCTGGGTCTTCATCCTCTATGACAACCAAATCAGGAGGCATTTCTTTAAATTGGTAAACAAGACGTTGCCCTTCCACCTTTGCTAGAATCCCTCGTTGGTAGTAGTACCTGAAAGATCATAACACAAGCAACAATTGAGGGATAGTTTTAGATGTGGTGCACAGTTAATTTTTTTGTTTAGTCATCCGTCCAGTCTCACTTTTATGAAAATACAAGATAAACCATACAGAGGTTACACTAGGTTACACCATTACCTGAGAGCTCGTCCCATAGTCTCATAATTCATGTCAGGCTTGTTTTTGTGTTTGCCCCAAAGCTTGGAAACTGCCTTGGAGTCCACCAGCTTAAAGATGCCTTTTTCCCGCTGTGTCCACTTGATGTATTTGGGACAGGTGTTTTTATCCTGCAGAAGAGCCAGGAGGAATTCCCACAGGTAGATGGTATTGCCTGCAACAAATAAAGAAAACCTTTCAAGTCAGGCAGTTCTAAATAGTTATTTTGTGTTCCATAGCAGTTATTTTTTTTACACAAAAATAGTTAGTATGCTGTTCTTGGTGAAATCCCTCATTCATCCAGGAGTGGTAGAAAAAGTCTGAAAGATTCATCTGCACAATATTTTTTTGAAACTGAGACGTTCTGATTGCCATCAAGAAGTCAGTCAATTCAAATCAATCAGTTTTCAATCTGTGTGGTTAGTATGTTGTATTCACTGCTTACTGGCAACACCTTCAACCAATCAGTTTCACATTGTAATCCCAAAATAAAGATAAAACATTTAACCATACACTAATCCAAATCTAAAATTAAAAACGTCAAATTTAGGATCATGGTAAAATCACAATTGAAAATGTTACCATACATTAAATTAAAAATGTTGCCATACATTTCTGTTTGAAGGACTTTAGATCCCTTCATATTTCTAGACAGCATATAAAATACAATTTGCATTTTAAATCAGTGTTTTATTTTCTTGCAATGAAGAGTATCAAATTACTATTTGCCTAAACAGGAAATTAAAAATAGCAAGCTTGGAACTGGATTACTCCATTTTGTGCAATGCTTACACCACAACGGTTTAAAAAAAGTAACACTCCCTGAAATGCATCAGATCCAAGACACATGACAGGGTGATGTATTTGTATCACCCCTACTCCCCACACACTCACAACACACACACATGCACACACATACATGCACACACACACACTGTAACTCCATGTGTCACCCTCTATGGTGCGATGAGGGTTCACACTGCGCACCACCAGTCTGCTTGTATCAGTCTAACATCAGTGTGCCCTCCAGCCTGCAATCACTTGTGCTTCCCTGTGAAACAAGGCACTCTGCAGTCCTCCCCATCCATTAACTGCAGCAGATTCACCCCCTCTGGACTGCAGGGGTTGAGGAGCACTTTTAGAGCATCTCACCAGAGAGAAAACAGCATACACAAGAGGCGCACAGACCTTGCATTTTATTGGCTCATTATACAGACGACTACTAGTTAGTGTGGCTCACCTTTGCCCTCCTTGCTCTTCTTTTTGAGTGGCAGGGTAGGGGTGGTGATGGGCGAGCAGGGGCGCACTGGCCTCGGCTTCCGCACTATGAATCAAATAGCAGGGTAGAGTATTAAAAGGTGCAAGGTCACAGAGAAGTCACTCAATTACCTTTACGAGTGGAGTGAAAATAAGACCTGTGTTTTAGAAATGAGAGGAAGCGGAACTGCAGGGTTACCTTTGGTTTTCTTTTGTGGTTTGAAATTGCACTTTTGTGGAATCTCATCCATGGAAGAAGTGTCCTCGTCTAAGGACATGTCAAGGCCACTGTTGTCAATTTGGTCTGGTCTGAGCGAGGCATATGTCAAGTCTGCTTCCAACATGCCATACGCGTGAACTGTGCATAAAGGGGAGATTTACACATGACATAAAGCATGGAAACACATCAGTACATCATGCTGTATGTGTCTAGTTTAGTGAATGTATAACCTGGTATTGCACATAGCCAGTGTTTGCCTGTCTATGAATAACATAAACCTTAGGATACACTCATATATATTTTTAGCAAAGAATATGTTGCTAATAGGCTCTGGCAAGGATTTCAGCACAGCTTAGGTCTGTGTTGATGAGAAGATATCATTCTGTACTACACTACTATATCACACTTTTAAAATGAGGAGTCAAGATTACAACACAAATTTCAGTGTACCTTAACCTAACCTTAATTTTGACCAGGCTTTGCTTGACCCTATGAGAATCATAAACTGGAGGAATACCTTCATGTATTTTTTTCCCATAACGCACAAATCATTATGCACAATATAAAGAAAATAATGTTGTGCTATATTAATAACATATAATAACAGGGCTTACTCATTCGCTTTTCATCCAGAATGTTATTTGGAGACTCCATATTGAGAAGTGCTGCTGCCGCCTCATTTGTCTCCATGCTGTCCTCTGCACCAGATACTGTTGTTTCTATCCAAAAAAACAAACACAAAAACATGGCCGTGAGATTTTTGTAAGTCAATGCATTTGAGTGCTTTGCTCCTAATTGTATGTGGGGACCTTGTGGGAAATGACTGAATTGCTGCCATGACAACCAGTGCCTGTTTTATTTCACCAGGCAGTAGGAGAACTTAAAAATAACATGATAAGTATGAACATTTTATTCTAATTTCACTTCCTCGTGAGGAGGTATTTAGAGTTCTTTTATAAAAAAAATATTCCCAAGATTATTCACCTAACAACTAAAAAGCCCTTGAATGAGTTTGAAGGAGACATATTTTGGAATCACAGGAAAATAATTTTTAAAAAGTTTTTCAGTTTTTAGACAAAACAGTGCACAAGGCAAACTAATCAGTCCAGTTTAAATAGTAGGCTACAGGTCATCCAAGTATTACCATCAAAACAAAAAAGAATTAGGTGTACTGAATGGAACTTACCAGACAGGTTGACTCCTCCCACGAGCATGGATGGCTCTTCTACCACATGTAGCGTTGTGTCCACCATGATGCCGTTGGTCACCTCATCAGACTCCAGCCCTGAGTACACCTGCAGAAGATCAGTCGCCGGCACTGGCTCCACAATCACGGCCGGGAATACAGAGGGGTCATCCAACTACAAACAAGACAAAACATCTCAGATTAGACCGTTAGGATAAATTTGTAGCGTACTTATATATGAGTATTTTGTATTTTATTCATTCTGCAACCCTTTCAACTTTTGGGTGACTTTCCCTCTCAACCCTCTTACAAAAAAATCACTCTGAATCAAAATAAACCCGTTCAAACCATCTGGAGCATAAACAGGTCTGGGCACTTTTGTGAAGGTGACACTCTCTAATTGTTACCTTTGCAGTCAAATTTACTCTAATTGTTTATGGTACAATACAAAGAGGAACAAAGCTGCTATTGGTGTATGTACTCAGCACTGCATGTGCCATGACTATTTCCATTTCAAACTTTTAAAAAAATTTCATTCTTGCCATCTCAGTTCAAAAGTTGAGGAGGAAGACATAGGATAATGGACATAAGTCTGTACAAGTTGAAATACCAATATGCTTTAGGTTTACTTAGGGCTGCAACTATTATTTGTAATAAATGTGATAACGGACATGTTAATTTGGACTATATAGACTCTAAAACTAAGCCTGTCATGATAATTACTTATGGTTCAATATATGATAGCAGGAACAATGTACTTTGAGGCTCAATATTTATTGTGTGTATAATTTTAGTTAGTTAATTTTAGTTAGTTATTTAATTTTGAAGGGTTGTGTAAGAAACTTCTATGGCTTCATATTAGTTATTTATTTGTTGTCGCTCAAGCCTTTTAATGTCTGTCTGTTTAAAAATGTGTAAACATGAATAAAATAAAAATAGTAATTCAGCATAATTCCAACTTTATCTGGTTAAATATAAAATATGCAGCCTAATTTGAACAGAAAACCATTACTTATACTGCATATGCATGTAGACTTATGCTGATGTAGAGGCGCATTCTTTGAAAAAGGAGGGGCTCATTTCTGTGGTACTGCAGCAGCCCACAGGGACCCTCTGAGGAAGACGGGAACCAGCTGTTTGATTTAGCCCACTAACACTGAGAAGCTAATCCTATCCCTGCACATTATATAAACCCCGATGAATGTTAATGGATCAATCATGAATTTGTAGGCAAGCAACCCCTTCATCACAGCCAAAAAATAAATAAAAAATCCATGCTAGGGAATTCTGAGCTACAATTCATCGACTCATTTCAGACATGGCACGGGCAAAGGGTGGAGAGAAGAGTGGTGGGACAAAGGGAATTGGCTGGGCATGGACGAGACCAGACATGAGAGGGACTTGAGAAAAAAAAAATATCAGAGGCTTCTTCAACAAAAGCCTGTGTGGAGAGCCCTCTGTGCCTCATGTCAGCAGGAGAAAATACAAGCACTAAATCAGTTCATCCTCTGAATAAGTGCATCAGATGGTCCTCCATGTTGGCTAGCTTCAGGGGCCTTGAGTGACAGCTGTCCTACTCCATTTATTTCAAAGCACATGGAAGTATGCAAGGACTACGGATGGGCTAAAAGAAGGGGAAATTAAGTGGGATAAACGGTGGTCGAACAGTGTCTACAGTGGCCAGGGCAATTGCTTCAAATTAAGTGTCAGTCTGGCTGTTTTGACAGCAACAGCCAGTGATGAAAGTATCCAGCAGATGGCAGCAAAACACACTTCAAAGACATGGTTCTATTAAACCACGTTAACAATGACATTTAAGTGTTATTTCTACATGGCACAACGGAATCTTCACATGCAAAATATCTATAAATAGAAACAATGAGTCAGTTACCTGCAGTGCACATATCTTCCACTCCCTTAAAACTATCTGACTTTGCTCTCATCCAATAACATATGTACTGACACTTGGTGATTTATTTAATTCTGAATCAATCATTCCCTGAGTCACAACTTGATAAAAAAGGGGGAAAGGTGCACAAGGACGAACTAGTATAAAGGCTTATCTGTCTCTATGCACAAATGTCCATTGTTGCTGAGGGACCTCTAGGGCATACCAGGTGCTTGGGCTTTGAGATGGGGGAATGGAGGAGCAGGGTGGGGGGCACTGGAGACCACCACAATCCTCCCAAATTAGCTACAGTTTAACCAGCAATCTAACAAGCTAGCTAATTATTCAAGAATGTTGTCTTAGTAGTGTTAGTTAAAGAATGGACTAAAGAGGTATCATAATATTGAAGTAATAGTACTTAAGTAATATAGCTTAGCTAAATAGAATGTTGTGGTAATTATTCCAAATATACATAACTCAGTACTAACGTAAATGTGTGGGAGAAAGACATGTCAGCAGTGTCTGAGAAATCACAAGATCCCATGAGGCCCACAAAACCTCAGAGTTATGCTTTGACTACAGATGTTATCATGTCTCACTGACATAAGCTAAATGTTTCTCATTAATGAGAGCATTGCTAGACACATTATCAGATAACTCCACAGTGAAGGCAGTAAAGCAGTGGGTCTTGCTCGCAGTCCTTGACTGAAGCATGTGTGGACATTTTGACTGTTGTTGAGCCCTACTGCCTCTTGTCAAAGTGTCTGAAAAGTTTGAAGTTCTGCTGACAGAGTATGAGACACTTCTGAAGGTGGGTGTAGACCTCTACTTCTTTCTGTTTATGCTGAGAACAAGTGAGGAGTGCGGTCATGCAAACAAAATGGAGATGACATCTTAAACACCAGAGTTACAAAACCGTGAGAGATAAGTTTATCAGGAGTCTTTTCAGGACAAATGTCACTAGGTTGTTTGGCTGCATATGCCTTCAGCAACTTATTCCTCTTTGTTGGTCTGCATATTATTTCTAGTACATATTATTTCTAGTACAGCAAAATGTAGAGATAAGAATCAGGTCAATTTGCATTTCTGAGTTCCCTATTCTGCGTGAAAGCCACAGCAACTGTGAGCACTCTGTTCCTCTCACAAACTACTCTCTTCTGCTTCACCTGTTCATTCACAAACACTCCTGTATTCTGTATACACCTCTTATCACTTTACTCACGCAAAATATGTGTTTAAACGAGCAGTGCTGCGGATCACCACATCTATTATGTGGTGTGAACTATGAATAATTTTATAGAAATGTTGACATGAATTGGATTCTAAAGCAAATATAATGGCCCTAACAGTATTTGCACAGAGCTGCTTATAGTTTTGTCATAGACAAACCAAATACAAAATGGCTAAAGAGGTATAATGTTAACACTGTCTCTTGTTTGGGGGGTATTTCCAGAACTTAGCACATGTGGGCACAGTGCCTGTATAACAGGCTGAGTAGGTACAGTGAGAAACAAAGCTGGAACAATGTGAGACCTTTGAGTCAAATGGTCCCATCCCTTCCAAGCAGCAGCCCAGTAACTGGTCTGTCAGGTTAGGCCTGAAGCGGTGCTTTTCTGGGATCCAGTGACAACATGTCACACACAGATACCAAAAACAAGACACGTCCACACTACAATCAAGCTTGTGACACTGGATTTAGAGGAGGGGGTGGGAAGGAGATAACCGCACACCTGCCCATATAATGCAAAATCACATAGTGACAGATTGAAATGATACGTGCAACAGTCACTCTGACGCCACTAAGCTCCTCCCTCCGCTCCCACGCACCCTAATGTCACTGCACTTTTTCCATTAAGAGCTCCCAGCAGCCCACACTACTCTCCCAGCCTGAGATGTACCCTGACCATGTTGTAGATTGGAGTCATTAGCCAGGCATGATCGTGCCCCAGTGACCACCGTGTTTAGATCTTTTATGGGCTCATTTGAGATGATACACATTCATCTACATTATATGGTTGTAGGCTTAACAGTTATGTGGTGAAGAATGTGCTGTTGATATTTTCTGAAAGCCATAGCTACCTGATTAATTTCATCCATCCCGTTGCTGGCAAATTCAAACACCAGTTCACCCGACTGCACTGCAGTCATCATGGCAGGAAAGTTCAGGGGTCAGGGTGTAGCCTGAAATATCCCAGTAATGACCACTCCTCAGAATGTGCTGATGGGCCCGTGGGTGCTGTGCTGATGTATCCAGTCAAAGGTGGATGGTAGAGAGTGTTAGTGGAGCCCTGTGGGCCAGGTGGGAACAACCCTGTCCCTCACACAGGCTGGGTTCTGCTCTGCCTGGAGCATCTACACCTGGAAAACACAAAGACAGGGTGACAACAATTCTCAAAGAAATTACATGTATTTGCCAAAGACCATTATGAAAAGAATCCAGCAAATGCATTTCATAGTGAAAGTTAATTAATGTGTTAATAGTTAAATTAATGTTCTAAGACCAACCTACTTTATTTCAAAAAGGCAACTGATTTTAGTCACATTTGTTTAATTACTTCAAAATCAATGTCACCAGCATATGCCAAATACAATGTTAACATCAATATTCCAATCTGATATGAGTAGATTAATCTGTCTCTCCCTGTTTGTGAGACCCTCTGGTCACAAGAGCTTTAGCTTAGGCCCTCCTCACTGTTCCATCTCTCCCTCCTCTCACACTCTCTGGTCTGATGATGGCCCAGAGTGTTGCAGTCGGACCCTGGGGGTGTGATGTCTGTAGAGGCGAAGGGAGGGGGAGGGAGGACGGACAGAGAGAGGGGGTAGTGATGGTAGTCCAAAAGGTGTGTCACAACAACCCGATACCCACAGGCAAGTTTCAGGATGGGAGGAGCCCATAGTTGAAGAATAAACAGCAATGAGGACCCCCTGGGTGAAATTCCCCCATAGTTTTTCTCTCGTGACACTAAAGAACTGGCAGCAAAAGAAGAGTATAAGATGGCAAGGTTTTATAGAGTCAGCCATCTCTCCTTTCCCTTTGGGGGAATATTTGCTTTGAAAAAGTAGCCCACCAGGCCTTATTGCACTTTGAAGAGGGGATGGAACAGCTTGCAGGGCACCCAGACCAAACACATTTTCTGACAGAATAGTCTGATGTGGCATAGGTCTGGAAAGCAAAAAGAAAAAAAAACATTCTAAAAGCCACAGAGCTCCACAAAGTTTATCCTTCTTTACTTGTCACAGAGTGGGCTGTGTGTATGATCACCTATGCCAGAGCTCAAGGCACATGTCATTATAATCTATGCTAATGCTACCAAAGAAGAAATATATGTTGAACAAAAATGTGACAGGGAAGGCAATAAAGCAAATTAGAGACTCCAAGGAACATTTGCCATCATGATGTATGATGAATTGCATTTTGAAAAAAATACACATCAACTACAGTCATTAAAAATTTACTTGTGAAGCTAATATTTGTAATATGGCATAATCAACCTATAATGTGAATAGGATAATTATTTAACTTAAAAGCCTATATACTGTTCAAAATCATGCTCATCTCAGTATCCCTGCTTCAGTTTTACCACACACAGTTCAGCTACTCTTATGTTTATAAATGTATTAGCAAAGGGATTGTATCAAGCCTGAAGGCATATTGCCGAAGCTGTAAATGCTGAACCAACTAGATAAACAAGTCATTATCAACATGCTAGGAAATCAACTGGAAAATTTTATGACACTTTTCCCCCCATATATGTTATGTCATAGTAAGGAATCACTACAATGCAATGATTATGCATGATTATTGATCCCATGACCAAACAACAGTGAAATTTCCAAATTTTCTTGAATTCACATTGTTTTAATTGTATAAACTATTCCTCTTTTGGGTGATCAGCTTTATAAAATCAAACTTTCTGAATGCAGAAATTGATATATGACGTGACTTAAAAAGCAAACTAAGAAATGACTTTAAATTAGGCCTTAATTTTGCTTCTAAAATGATCACAATTATTATATTTTATTTCTAATGGTTATAATGTGACCTTAATAATCATCAGTTATAGATTAACTGAACAATCTTGACATGCCTTGTTACTATTTATTAGGCATGAAAATTAAAATAGAAGATGGTTTGGTTGTAAACCAGAGTAAACTTCAGGTCTAACTTCACACATATATCAATATTGCTTTGTTATTTTATATTTTTGGTTAAAAATTGTGTGACTGGCTGAGTCAGGCTTACAAATCAGCATCTGCTTTTCTAATAATGTTCCTCCTTTGAGTGACATAATCTGAAAGTTGGAGCGATTTGTGAGCAGTAATGGATTAAAAATTATTGCCCATAGTAAGTGTATTTTCTTTAGATCCCTGTTGTTACTGCTCCATTGATGTGAAAGGCATAGCTAGCATAGTGCTAACAGCAGACAGGCATACAAGGGAGCTAGCCATTAGTCAGAGCAGCCTGCACATTATCCCAGCAGCTGCCTTGTCCCAACACAGAGACAGGGTTGTAACTACGCCTATTACGTCAGAGCAGAGGAGGGAGGGTTTTACTGGGAGGTTAGTCAATGCATAATGGTCCAACAGTGCAAATATATGGCAGCTGACTTGACCTGGGTGGGGACTGCTTGGACAGGGGTTGTTGCTGAGGAGTGGTTTCCAGGTGAGGCTTCTTGGTGGAACCAAAGGGGTGTAGAAGGTCAAACATTTAAAAAAAAAAAAAAACATAAATTTTAAGTATTACAACAATTTCAGTAGTAGGTTCCTGTTTACCCTCTAATGTTGGATTAAAGATGTGGAATGTAATGCCAATATTTACATTCAGTCATTTACTGATACTAAGGACACAATATTACCGTGGTAAGAGAGATTCAATACATGCGTAATATAGCACCTAACATAATTGGAGCACTAAGCAATGCTGTGGATCACATCCCCGGTCATGTGACTCTAATTTCACTCCGAGGGTCTGCTACATGCCAGCCTGCAACTGCTGGTCTGCTCCACCCCTGTAGTATGGTGACTGCCAGGCGCAATAACAACCAATTAGAGGCTGGATTCATGAACAAATGGACCATTCCCAGAAGGACCCACTTCCCCCGCTTTAGTCTCTTCAGCTGAGCTCATTGTTGACCATGAAAGGACGTAATTTAAGCCAATTGAATGACTATGCAATGACTCACCCTCCATGTGGTGACTGCAAACATTGGGAGATAGAGGAAAATGACCAGTGCAAACTTTGTTTGTCAGCCATTTGCAGCTTGGGTTACCCAGTACTGTTGATTTCTTGGGTTTAATGATAGCACAGATGTTGGAGAGAGGTATTTTTGGTATTCCAATTCTTTTCCCGCACACAGACAAAAGGTGTTTTGAAGAAAGAAAATGATAAAATCATAGATGTGGTGCAGAAACTAAACACCTGCAAAGTAAATAAAACCCAATTTGTTTTACTATCACATGACAAATACTAACTTAAACAAGGAATTCTATAGGTTACAGGTGAGGTTATGCTGATGATACGATCACTAGCTAGCACAGATGACAACAGTGTGGGCCTTCACTACCATCTAACTACTGTCAGTGTTTTTGCAGGATCTGCTGGGTTCCTGTAAAGGAAATGAGTCAGTGATACAAAGCTGGGTCATTTCTGGAGCAATGTGATAGACTACCCATGTGAGCAGTTCTGAGGAACTCTGTCTTCTAGTGTATGAACAAGCGGTTCATCTTAGCACATTTACCAAATGCCCAACATCAAGTGTAAGGCCACAAATTAATAGAAAATATATGTAAACAACAATAAAATGTTTACTAAATGACTTGCACCTGATGATAACATGTAGACAATGTGTTGTCAAAATGCAGTACTTAAGGTCAGAGTGTTAAAAGCAAATGCTAATAACAACAATTACAGTTCTTTATAGCTCTACACTATACCCTTACTGGGTCCTCATTACATCCTACATCTGACTCACCACAGGGTTGCACAATGCACTGCAGCAAGTCTCACCATGTTCCACAGTGAACTTTATTGAGCCAAATAAAGGGAGTGCTTTCACACCACTACACAGACTGTGATAAAAGGACAGCAGCGGGCAGACACTGGGTAATAGAGCCCAGCTGCACAGAAAACACACCAGCTCCATGTGTTTCAACTGGGAAGCATTTGACTCTGCAGTGCCACGGCCAAATGAAGAAAGAAAATGCCACCTCCAGCATGGACTGTTAGAGGGATAATGGAATTTAATCTTATCGGCTGCAAACCTTGTACTTTTCCATTGTGTATATGCCTGTAAGGATGATGTTTTATTAACACATTTAAAAAATACTAATCAATATTCCATCACAAAAACTAGCCCTCACTAGTTTTTGCCTGAAAACCCAAAATAGCAGTGACATACTTTAAAATAGTGGTTAGAAAAGCGAAACCACACACTGACCTGTGAACACTGCAGTCACAGGAACAGCATCACTGAGAGCGCTACTTCCTGTCTGTTAAACCACATTGAGCAAAATTTCATCTTCTGTGAAAGAGCGGAAAGTTTGTAACTCCCCCTCCTTCCTTCTTCAACAACATGCTAAAGATATGGGTTTTGTTGTACTTTATGCAAAGTGACATAAAACACTTTTCTGGCAATTTTGATAGTAACTAATAACTGTGATATCTCTGGTGGTTACATGACACATAAAACATATATTGAGTACATACTGCAGTTAAAGATTCATCTATTTAATCTGTGCTTTCTAAAAATTTGCCTGTTTCTGTCAAATTTACTTTACTGTCATGCCCAAAGTTTGATTTCATAAAGCTGCTTTAATACTAACTAGAGGAATGTTAATCAATTAGAAAATGTGAATGAAAGTGAAATAAGGATTTTATTGTTTCAAAAACTGTGAATAATTGTAAAAATGTGATGCAATAATCACAGCACAAAAATTTGATATTGCAACCTCCCTAAAAGACATACACACATACATAAGACAAGTAAATTTAGTCTATCCTTGGCTGACGTTTGGACAGGCTGTTTAATGACAATAGTAGTGAATACAAAAGCATTACAAAAGCATTCTCCAAGCCACACCTGCCATTTTCAGACTCCTCTTATCCCTGCAGTGCTGACACAAGCGCACAAACACAGACACTGTGACTAACCCCTACCCCTGTTATAGCGTACGCACAACAACACCAGAAAGGGCCCCAAGTTGGGTTGATGAAAAAAAAATAAAAAATCTGAAGATACTGCAGAGTTCCTGTCAAGCTGCATTCACTGTGCTTCTGGAACACCCCAAAAACTCTGCCCTAAAGCACACCCAAGCCATTCATTAACATTGGACAAAATCCCACCTGTCGAAGTCACTTT